GTGCTACATGTATTTGCCCCCTAGTCATAGGCTCAGTGCTACATGTATTTGCCCCCTAGTCATAGGCTCAGTGCTACATGTATTTGCCCCCTAGTCATAGGCTCAGTGCTACATGTATTTGCCCCCTAGTCATAGGCTCAGTGCTACGTGTATTCCCCCCCTTAGGCATAGGCTCAGTGCTACGTGTATTCCCCCCCTTAGGCATAGGCTCAGTGCTACGTGTATTCCCCCCCTTAGGCATAGGCTCAGTGCTACGTGTATTCCCCCCTTAGGGCCTGTTCACACGACGTCCGCTTTGTGTGCTGACCGGCTCCGTACGCTGCTGCACTCAAAAAATGCATCCCAATGTATCCCTATGTGTTTTATGGGCTCCAGTTCTCACGTGCGCAGTCCGTTCAGCTTACGACAGAAAAAATACTGCATGTCACATTTTGTCAGGTCCGGAAACGGAACGGATACGCAAACGCGTCAAAAACGCACTGTGTTGCAGCTAACATACTAACAGCCCCACTCCAGCAAAAAAAAAAAACGCGGCCAAAAACGCACTGCATCAGCAGCTCCACGTCTGCTGATCAGGACCTGATCTCATGTGAACAGGCCCTTAGGCATAGACTCCCAGAGGCAGAAGCATGATGAGATTTGTAGCCAAGGTTGCCTACCTCTGCCCCAGCCACTAGATCAGTGCTGCGTGTGTTTCCCCCCTAGCCACTAGATCAGTGCTGCGTGTGTTTCCCCCCTAGCCACTAGATCAGTGCTGCGTGTGTTCCCTCTACCTACTAGATCAGTGCTGCGTGTGGTCCCCCCACCTACCCGGGTTTAGGGAAACCCGCAGAGCCCAGTGTGTACCTAGAACCTGACAAGGAGAACTAAAGCCCCACTTACACCTTCGCAAACGTGAATGGGGCCTAACACTGGCCCTAAGGCCCCGTTCCCACTGCGCGATATGCAAATCGCGTGTTTGTCAATGCAAGCTTGCTCAATGCAAGCTTGAACGCGATATCGCGCGGCAAATCTCGTGATATCGCGTTCAAGCTTGCATTGCGCAAGCTTGAATCGCGGCTAAATCCGCTCCAAAAAGGGTCTTGCTGTAGCGACACACGACCCGCAACAGCAGGACCCTTTGCCCCATTGAAATGCATTGGAGCGCGATATCGCGCGGTAATTTGCTGCGATATCGCGGGGATTACCGCACGATAAATCGCTCAATGTGAACAGGGCTTAAACGGAGGTGAATGAAAAAAAAATCAATGAATTATCCGATCCATGTTAAACAACTGGATGGAGGAATATCCAATGCCAACTGTTGTATTCTGAAACCCAGCACCTATGGCTCTCAGAATACACAAAGTAGCTAATTGGTTGCAGTTTGTCTAACAATTTTTCACTCAGCTGCTTTGGGAAAATTCAATTGAAAAATGAAGGAGCCACCCACAGATTGAATATCGGTCTATTTAGCAGAAAATGATCAAAATTCGATCCTTGTATGGCCAGCCTTAGTATTTTTAAATGCTTGCCTTGCAAAATATATTTGTCTAGTCAAGGAAAAGTATTGCACTATTTTGACTTTCCTGCTATTCTCTTTGGCCAGTGCAGTTTAACACTTTATTGCTTGTGTACGTTTCAGTCATGCCATATTCCCATTCTGCACAATGCTAATGTAAAGTTCAGCATATGCACTTTTAGATTCAGGTGTCCTGCTTGGTTGTTGGGCATTTCCTGTACAGTACAATTAGCCTTCTAGTTAGGACAAGTTTGACCAGTCCAGAAATGCATTGGATTGTGAATGAATAGTAATATTTAATGACTAAATCAATAATAATAATATACAGTATATATAATAGAAAAAGCGGTTTCCATGAAGAAAATTGAATCTGCTAATCATTCTACTGTCATGACTTTTTTCAATTATGTTTTTTTAGGAAAACAAAGTGTCCATATGGTCCACTGGAGATTTTGGAACAATTAATATGGATGAAGATTACTTAGTGGAACCTAAATTGTTGTGTGACATCAGACACAGAGGCGATGTAACAGACCTGCAGGTGTAGTCCGTTTTACAGATCTGTATTAAGAACATAAGTGCTGTTTTGTATTGCACAGTAAAACCTAATGAAAGAAGCCGTGTTATACCACCATTAATTTATAGTGCTAAACTGAGCAATTGGGGGAGAAGGCGTTATTAAGAGAGGTGACAAAAAACCTGATGGTTACTCTGACTGAGCTCCAGAGATCCTGTGTGGAGATGGGACAAGGTTCCAGAAACACAACCATCACTGGAGCCCTGCACTGATCTGGCCTTTATGGCAGAGTGGCTAGGAACACATGAAAACCCGCTTGGAGTTTGCACCTGAAGGACTCTGACTGACTGAAGAATAAGATTCTCTAGTCTGATGAAACCAATATTAAACTGTTGGGCCTCAATTCTAAACGTTATGTCTGGAGGAAACTAGGCACCGCTTATCACCTGTCCAATACCATCCCAACAGTGAAGCATGGTGGTGGCAGCATCATGCTTTGGGGGAGTTTTTCAGCAGCAGGGACTGGGAGACTGGTCAGGGTTAAGGGAAAGCTGAATGGAGCAAAGTACAGAGATATCCTCAATGAAAACCTGTTCCACAGCACTCAAGACCTCAGACTGGGCCAAAGGTTCACCTTCAGACATGACAACAATCCTAAGTACAAAGCCAAGACAACACAGGAGTGGCTTAAGCATAACTCCGTGATGGCCTTCCAGTGGCCCAGCCAGAGCCCTGACTTGAACCCTATTGAATATCTCTTGAGAGACTTAAAAATGGCTGTCCACCGACGGTCCCCATCCAACCTGACTGAGCTTGAGAGGATTTGCAAAGAAGAATAGCAGAAAATCCCCCGCCCCTGCCTTCCTGACCAATCAATATGGAGGCGGCTAAACAGCATGGAGCTGGCTTCCTGGCCAATCGGGAAGCCGGGCAGTGAGTTATAACCCACCGCCTGGCTTCCTGATTGGCTGGGAAGCCAGCTCCATGTTCCCTCACGGCACTGCCGGTTAGAGGAAATCTTCTGACCGGAAGTTCTGGTATCGGAGCATTTGGTCGAGTCCGAGTAATCGCCCAAATACTCCGTATCAGCACCGATACTAGTATCGGCACTGATACCAGTAATGGTGCATCCATACATAACACTATAGACAGGGCTTGAAAAATTTTGATAGTGTCTCACCAGTCAGTCAAAAATTTCACCAGTCAGCATGACCGGACTATAGCCTTGCAATTTATGTTAAAGTTTGGGGACAGATGGAGCTTTGTTTTGGAGGTATATAATCTTCTTCTGATACAAGCGATCGAGTGTCTCTCGAGACGCTCGATCGCTTGACTGTAAAGCTCCCGGCCGGCCGTGTATTTACAACGGCCGGCTGGCCGGGAAGCTGCTCGTCGGGCTCCACCGTCTGCTCGTCGCAGACGAGTGGATTTTTCGAGCCCTGACTATAGAGGTCTGCAATTCCTGAAGAAGTTGGACTTGCAGCACTGAAAGACAGCCTGTTATGATTGATACAGCTTGTCCTGATGGGTTCTCTTTAAAGGGGGGGAAGGAAATTATGTATTTTCAACAAATATACATCTTTAGATTTATTGTAGTAACATTTACTTTAAAGGGAAACTAATGATTTGGGTTTAAATTGCATGACAAGCCAAAATGATTGCCTACAGAGATGCTGTGCTTGGCCCTAATGATCATTGGCAATACCTACTATATCATATAGTGCTGCTTATAGTCACCATAAGATTGCAGACTGGTTTTGGGTTTTTGTAACCTGGCATCATTTGTTTTGAAGTTTTTAGATCAAGAAAGAATTGTGACAGCATCTTCAACTGGAAGAGTAACAATCTTTCGTCACCATCAGACAAATCAGGTACCTTTTTATCATAAAACATTAAAGTAGTTTTGATTGTATTTTTTTTTCCTCTTGTACTTTTTATATTCCTTTTTGTGGAAGTGCTCATTTTACTTTATAGCAGTTGCAAACTTTTTGCATCTTTATAAACCCAATGAAAAATATAATTTAAACTGATTTTAAAATAGGGAATAAATAACTGTTGTTAGTGCAAAAGTCATATTAGCTGGACTTCATCACCCATTTTATTTTTAAAAATCATTGAAATTACTTGGGGGGGAATTTATCCAAACTGGAGCAGACAAAAACTGGAGCAGTTGTGCATGGCAACCAATCAGCTGATTGTTTGCCATGCACAACTGCTCCAGTTTTTGTCTGCTCCAGTTTGGATAAATTCCCTTCCTTGTTTTTTTATGAAAAATGTGGGGCTTAGGGCTTGTTACTCAGCAAGATGTTCTAGATTTATTGTTTTGTCTCTTTTAAAAACCTGCACTTTAAAAAGAAGTCGCCAGTGGTAGCTACTTTAGTTCTATCCCAACAATTAATTTAAGGAATTCTTTAACAGCCAGTTTAAGTCCCATTACTTGAAAGTATAGATAGGCCTAAGGAAAATGTCACTTTTCCCATGCAGTCATGAAGCTGTTTTCTATGCTCATTTAAATTAAAGTAACACATAACTTGGGAGTTAAATCTTAAAAATGCATTCAAGAACTTTTACAATTAACAAAAATGTATCTTATTTCTGTATCGCTTAGTTGTAGATCCTCAAATCATCTCTGAATTGGTGCTGACACTTTCCTTCCTTCTGGAGGGTGGCTATTTATGATCGCTATGTGTGCTGTAAAGTAGCCACCATTACAATCTCAATTAAAATTGGTAAACTAAACGTCAGATTGTAATCCATCAGGGGAGTGAGGTTGGAGCAGTGACTACTTTACAACACACACAGGGACCATGGGGAACAAAAGTAGCCCCCCTCCAGAAGGAAGGACAGTGCCAGCACAAATTCAGAGATGATTTGAGGATCTACAGCCGAGTGATACACAAATAAGATACATTTTTGTTAGCAGTTAAGGTACATGTATATATTTTTAAGATTTATTCCTGAGTTTAGTGTCACGTTAACACTGGTCTTGAGTCCTTTAAAAGGGTACAAATGTTAGAAACTATCAGGATTAGACAGCTTTTGTCAGAATATTTGAGATGTTTTGGTATGCTAGACTTTATATTTTGTTGGTTAATAAAATATTGTACTTGTACGGTGTATTACATTTTTGCTTATTTTCTTTTTCTCAAGACATTGTCAGAAAAGCAGAAATGGGAGCATGCTCATAGTCATGCTGGCTCAAATGATGTAGGAGCACCGTGCACTGGCATTGTTTGCAGCAGTCCGGATATTGTCTCTGTTGGAGAGGATGGCCGAATAAATGTTTTCAAAGCTGACAGCAAAGACATAGTTAGAACAATAGGTAAGTTATAGTTGTATTATTCATTATTATGAATCCATATCAAACAGCTATACATGGCCCAGCAGCATATTTTCTTTATTTTTTGCCCAATCATTTACAGTCATCATGTTTCCTAGATGGCGCGTGTATGAACCATCCTGGCACAGATCCCACCTTCCCCTTTGTCTCTTTCCCTTTATAGGCGGTGCTGGGTCTGTGGAGCATGGAGTTTTATGGTATCAGTATAGTTTGTTCCACTGGTTCATTTTAAAATCCCATTCTGTTTGTTGCAACCATACGTTTTAAGTTTTAAACTACAAACATGGTTTAAAGGAACATGTCACGTCTTTTCCTTTTTGAGTGACAGATCGGATATATCACAGTTTAGTGAAAGGCAGCTTAGTTTTTGGTGTTTTTTTTTGACCCTGATGCAAGTTTGTGTTCCAGGGAACAATTTAGTCAGGCAAATATACCTATATTTAGCTCTATATGATGAATATTGGTACATTCATCATACAGATCTATATGTGCAGATATTGTAGCGCAACACTTTTTTTTTTTCCTTTTGATTTACAAAAGTTTGTATATTTTTTTTCCTCATTTATATAGTGCTCTCATGTAAAGATAACTGAGGTGACTTTTGTTACAGAAATATTTTTTTATTTTTTTTTAACATCCTGTCTAGTTGTCCTTTTGGGCAATGCACCGTTACATTTATATCAGTCTTCAGGCTCATATGGATAGCTAGGATAAGAGAATATGTTGGACTCATCTGATTGTTTATTAGAACATAATGAGCCATACCTAACATGTATCCACCCAATTTTGTGATAAATGATATTGCTACAGGAAAGTGATTTATCTTCTGTATTCACTTCACTACTTTAGATGATGCAGACAGCAGTACCATGCATGCAGTAACTTTTCTCCGTACGACGGAGATCTTGACTGTCAATTCCATTGGGCAGCTGAAGATGTGGGACCTTAGACAACAGGGCAATGATCCGACACAAATATTCTCTGTGTGAGTATTAATTTTGAGAGTTAGATGGAGCTGTATTAATGTACATTCCCCCAAAAAAAACCTGTGTCCTTCAAAATATGTATAAAATTGTCTTAAAGAGTTATTTGTTAAATTAAATGAAAAAGTATTCTAGCTACAAAAATATAATAACCTGTCTTTTTTGCAGTTAGGCCCATTTCACACATTCCTAACAGGAGGTGATCCGTGCACAGATCCCCTCCTGACCGAGATAGATGTCACCATTGTGATATGCGTCTTCAGTTTTTTTCCTCCATCACAAGATGGAGGAAAAAAACGGACAATTACCCAACCAATGGTCTGAGGAATCGGATGTAAACGGACTTTTCTCCATTTACATCAGATGAGCCCTGATCTGGCATTGACAGGTCCTGTGAAACGGAACTCTGATCCCTTTGTTTTTCTAGACCTGGCTGGAGCCGGGGGTACCCTATGTAAACTGATACACATCCATTTAGATCCAGCTGCTCATAGACGTTGGGCTACTGATCAGGTCCACCTAAAAAAACTGACAGACGGACCTGAACGGAACACCCATGTGAAAGGGGCCTACGTTTCTATTAGTTGGCTTTATTTGTGATAAAGTTTTTTTAAAAGTTGGTAAATTTTAAGACTTTTTTTATTTTTAATATAAGGCTGAACTCCTGGTTAAACTAATATTGTCTTAATACAAGAGGTATGCATATCATTACATGAATGTTGGTGTCCTTTTGTAAATTTCTTCCAGATCTGCATGGCAGTTTAGCATAAACCAACTACACTTTTCCTCTGGGCAAGAGTTTCTTGTAATAAAGACTAGTCACTGCTGCTGTCATTGTGACGCATGACTGGTCTTGTATCTGCCCCCCACTTCCCTCCTGTAAGTCTTCTGCAGGCAGCCAGTAGCTGGAATACTTGTTGGTCCCACTTCCAGCTCTGCTCTGTGCACACGCTATGTGCAGCACAGAGATTACGTTCATGCTTTTTTTTTTTTTTTTTTTTACAAAGCAATACATGTCTATAGCAAAGAATTTTGGGGCGTACAAAGTAGTTGTATATCTTTTGTGGCTTATGAGGAAGTGTGCCTGGAGTTCAGCTTTATGTATGTTTTGTGTATACGGTTTTTCCATAAGCAGGATGTTACAATTTTTCTGCTCCTTTTTACCCATATCTACTTATTGGGGAGCCAGAGATGTGGAAGAACTGTCGATGGACTGGTATTTTGGGGAAAAAAGGACTTTTCTTGGCCCACTATATAAAGAGCCCATCTGATGCTATTGGGGGATATTTTAAAATGCAGGGCTTTGTGCCCAGAGTTCAGTTTTAAAGAAGGTACATAAATATTTATGTAACATCTTTTCTGTTTTCCATTTTTCATCAGAGCTAATGAGAGGGTCCCCTTACACTGCTTGAACAGGCATCCAAGTCAACAGCATGTTGTAGCAACAGGTGGTCAAGATGGCATGCTATGTATTTGGGATGTTAGGCAGAGCAAAATTCCAGTATCCTTGCTCAGCGCTCACGATGCAGAAAGTAAGTTGGCAATCTGCTTTCATGCCCTTGTAAGCATGCACCTAAAGCTTCTGTACAAGTGCAGATTCTCATTTCAAGTAGAGAAAATGAGTGGCTAAAGTTAGTGTTGTCTGCTGCAATAGCCTCCCCTATACCGTCCATTGGATATATTGCATAATACTTTTGTCTTGTGCTTTTTCTAGTGTGGGAGGTTCACTTTCACCCTTCAAAACCAGATCATATATTTACATGTTCTGAAGATGGCTCTCTTTGGCACTGGGATGCATCAACTGAAGCTGCTGAAAGACCTAACTTTCTTGTTGGTGAGCAATATATATATATTTTTTTTCTGGTTTGTTTGTGTGAGAGTTACAAGCTAAAGCTGGCACACTGGTCCATGGCGATACATTAGAATACATGTTAAAATTGTGTGTGTATAAAATAGTGGCAATACCATGGTGTTATGTGGCCACTAAGTGACCCAGGATTCTCAGCCAGAGGGGCTCCAGGAAACAATTGCTTGTGCCAGGAAAGATCTGCCTTTTCAGTCCTTTCTAGGTTTTCTGGATCATAGTTGGGATCCTGGAGCTGGGAGATTTTAGAGCTCTGGTGGGATGCAATCTTCATTCCTGGCTCCATGGCTTGGTAGCGACCAGCACCTAATTGTGCACCTGTGTACAACCCTCATGAAGAGGGTGCTGGGATGTGTTGAGGGCTCCACCTGGGGGACAGGAAAACTCCACCCAGGAGTCAGAGTGGAGCCCAGTGCAGCAGGCAGCTGCGGGTTTGTGAAACCAATTGTGCAGGTTAGCACATTACTGAGGGTGTCTGGAGGAAACAGACAGTGGCCCTGAGGATTGAGGCCAGAGCAGCAGTGCTGCAACAAAAAACTGTTAAAGGACTGGGACACTGAGTGTGTGGGATAACTTGAGAATTGGTGAGCCAATTTATGTTGTTATGCGGAAGACGAGCTATTTTTTGTTGGACTTCCTTGGTTGCCTGCCTTTGAAAAAATAATAAAGACTTTTTGTTTATGGAAAAGTCCTGTGCGAGTGCTCCTGTGAGCTCCCCAACATTTATATATAATTAGTATTTGGGGAACATAGCACATATGGTAAGCACTTAAAGGATGCAGTCCACTCTCAATACCTTCTGTTTAAGAGCTTGGAAGCCCACGTTTATTTAAACGAAAGTTCAAACATCCTCATCGGATAGGCTTGCATCCAAGCACTGCTTCAAAATAAACACAGGCTCAGCCTACCAGCTTCTAATCTTAGCATCAGGCTTATTTGACACCAGTCCGTTGTCTGTTTCTCCTCAGACTAGTCGTTAACAGTTCTCCCCAGCCTCCCTGGCTGTCTTCGTGTGCCTTCAGCGCACACACCACCTGACTCCACTCTGACTTCTGGGTAGAGTCCTCCTGACTCTTGGACAGGAACCTTTCCTGTCTCCCAGCTGGAGCCCTGAACACTTACCAGCACCCTTTTCTTAAGGGTTTCACCTGTGCAATCATTGGGTGCTCGTCACTTCTAAACTCAGGAATGGAGATTGCTTGCCTGCCAAGTCTCTTTGAAAACTCCTGGTTCCAGAATCCCAAGCCAAATCCAGAAAATCCGAAAAGAACTGCCAAGCCAGCTCTTTCCCTGTAAAGAAACTTGTTTCCTAAAACCCCTCTGGCTGAGGGTGCTAGGTGACCATAATACCAAATGTTACAGTGACACAGCACTG